GACCGGCCCTCGATCCTCACGCAGCCCGGCCGCCTGCCCGCCTCCGTCCAGGCGTGGCGGTGTCCGTCTTGGCCAGCGGATACAGCGTGGCTAAGCCCTGCCTAGCCGGCACAGGATCCCCACCTAAGCAAATTGGGTGCTAACCAAACCTAACCTCGAGTGCTGTTATTTAATGCAGCTCTGCTGCCTTGCACTTCTAACCTCTTACAGCTTTATTGTAGCTCACTAATGATAACCTTCAAAGGGAGGATGCTAGAGGCAAGGAGGATTTCACGCACTGGGCAGTTCTTTTAGTGCAAAACTAGGGTTGCACCTTGTGCTGCAGGATGTGTCACACTTCCTGAACGACACCAGGCCTGCAGGTTGTCGAGGAGTGTCCCCCAGAGAACTGGGTGCTTGTCGCTGGTGGAAGCTCAGTGCCTGGGGAGGCTGGCGATGGAACTGCTGCGAGTGCTGCAGGGTTGATTTTGCATCATGTGGCTGGAGGAGTGTGGGGAAACCTGTGCTTGATACCTTCCCTTCATTTAATCTGCTGCGTCCTTTTGAAACAGGAAAGAATCGGAGGCTGAAGCAGGCAAAAGAAGAAGCCCAGGCAGAGATTGAACAGTACCGGCTGCAGAGGGAGAAGGAGTTCAAAGCCAAGGAAGCAGCGGTTTGTGTTCGATAATTCACTGTTCTCTACCCGGGTCCTTAGCCTTGCAGCTGGTGTTACTTCCCTTAACTGCCTTCCTCAAAGGGCAGCATGTCATGTGGAGCAGTGGAAAAAAATTCCGAATGGGGTGTGTTGAATATTGGAAGCCAGAAGTATTAACTGGCAAAGAATTAATCCAACAGGCTTGTGTACTGACTGGTGCCCAGGGAGGGTCTCAGCCCAACAAACCTTCTGCCTGGAGCAGTATTGGATAAGACTGAGCTCATTCCTTCTGTCACAAGCTTGTTTTTCACCATGCTAACTGTAGAAACCCCTTGCCTCACAGGTGACCCTGTCTTGCTGAAGTGGTTTGCTGATCTGAGCAGCAGTCTAGCTTGCTGTGTCTTGGTGTTGTGTGTGTCTTTCTTCTGAGCAAGAGAAGGTGTTCCCAAAAGGTGCAGAACTGAAGCCCTTTACCATTGGAGAGCTACAGCGCTTTCTAGCTTGGTTCAGGCAATTCTAGGCTAATAAGGGGAATTTACCAATTTGCCTGTTGGTTCTATTTTATTTACAGTTTTCTGGAGAGAGAAACTCTTCATGGAAGGCACCCAAAGTGCTAGTTCCTCTTTTAGCTTATGTTCTGTGCCTCTGTTGTTACCCACGCGCAATGGAAGGTTTCTCTTTCTTCCCTTGCTTTTGGGGCAGGTGGGTGGGAGTCTTTGTGGTGCTTATGATGTGTCCCAGAGCTTTTTTAATAAGGTATTTTTAGTAAGGAATTTTCATAAGGAATCTCAAAGAACAGAAACAATTGGATGATGTGCTTAAACTAAATTATGAATGTTATTTTTCTTAAGCTATTTATTGCTGTAATGCCCAGAGGTTTCTAGTTGTAGTTCCAAGGACAATAGGACTGTGATTTCAGACATTCTTGCTCTGCTTAGAGAAGCCCATGTTCTAAACTGATAACTGATAAATGGGAGAGGCTCTGCAGAATGACTGAGTATGGAATCAGTCATAGTATTTTCATTATCAAGCTACTTGAAATTGTGAAAAATTTCCTCTGTTGTTTGTAGGCCCTTGGATCTCATGGCAGCTGCACCACTGAAGTTGAGAAGGAGACCCAGGGGAAGATGAGCGTAATCCAGCAGAACTTCCAGAAGAACCGTGAGGCAGTGCTCTCCCAGCTGCTATCTCTCGTGTGTGAAATCAAACCTGAAATCCATGTGAATTACCGCATCAATGGGTAGTTGTGGAAGAATGGATGAGCATCCTGGAAACGCTGGCAGTAACATCTGAGTTTCAGGTGGAATGTACAGCCCTTAGCCATACCTTACCTGTTCTTCTTGTAACGATGTTAATTTATTTCAATGAGTTGCAGGTCATCAATATCTTGTTGGAGTTCTGTTAGTTTGCCTCTTGACATAGCTTCAGAACTTATTCAAGCACAGAATAGTCATGTCTCAAATATGTGCTAAGTTGTGAAATATATTCGAGGTGGCCTGTTAGTGCTCCTTTTTTCTGGATAAGATTCAGTGAGCAGTTTTTCTTGGAGAAGTGGAAAGAGGAGTTGGAGGTTTGCCAGGTTTGAATGGCGAGCCTCAGTCCATATTTGTCAGCTCTGTGTAACTGTATTCTTGTAGACCAAAATGTATCTTTTGGTGTGCTGTTAACCTTTACATAGGATTAAACCTAGTAAGAAGAATTCTTTGGCTGTGCAGTACTGGCTGGTAATCTTCAGGTGCTTAAATTTCTCTGTATTGGATATCCTCTGTATATTCTACTGTTAGCTTGAGTTACAAGTCTGGCACTATGACACTTGAAAGTAAAAACACATATTTAACTCTGAAGTCTCTTTAGTCAGTCTTATTTTACCTGCTCCCTTGTTCCTGCAAGTGTTAACAGGACTCATTGCATTGAGTTAGTCTGGACTCTGAAGAATGAATATCAAGTATGGATAAAGGACAGAGTAAGAGATAAAGTAAGTGTCTGAAGGTCACAGCAGGTGAGTTCAAAACCCATTACACCTCTTGGCTCCAGTCTGATGCTTTACCTGCCAGTTCATTCCGAAAACCTTCAGGAACAAATGTTCCTGTGACCATTAGGGGGAATAACATTGCCAGCACAGCAGAATAGCTTGATAGTCGAGCGCTGTATGGTAATTATCCTTCCCCTTGTTAGGTACTGGCCACTGCTCTGTTAATGCCAAGGTCATAATGTCCTTGTAGCATCCTGCTTTACCTGAGAACAATGTGAAGTGTGTGACTGTATTTGCCTTGCTGTCTAGCTCCTTAATCAAAAATACACAGAAGAACATCAAGAGGCTTCATGTTTCAGCAGGTTCTTTCTTTCCCCTTCCCACCCTTAAACAACTAAATGTGCCTTTACTTTTTTTGCTGAGTTCAGCATAAGTCTTCTCCCAGAGGAGAGACCTTCTTGATCAGCATATAGCTGATTGGATCCAAGATTCATGCAGTTGGGAATGTAACAAGAATCCTTATTGATACTGTTCTGCAGAAAGAAAACCCTGTTACCACTTTAACTTAGAGCAGCATTGAAAAATCCCTCAGACCTGTATGGTGTGATTGCAGTTGAGAGGGAAGAAAACGGAATGGATGAAAGGCATAATGCCCACAGTCACGCAGGGCAAAGGAAGAGTAGACACTGTTCTCATGTCTCCTTTAGTAATATTTTATAGTGGTACACTGTGGTTCTGAAAGGACCTCTTTAGGAATCAAAACCATTAACTATGCTGTAAAATTGAAACAAAAACACCCTGCAAAATAAAATATGTCACACTGGGAAAGAGCCAGGTCAGTACAAGGAGAATAGGATCAAAGCAGTTTTAGTCAGTCTAGTCAGATGACGGGGAAGTTGCTAGGTGGCCTCAAAAGGTTGCATCCATGCTAGTTTTAATCTTTGGAGATGAAAAGCTTCCCTGTTGAGAACAGGTGCTCAGGTTCCAGTGTGATACTGTTCATTAAAGTCCCCCTAGCTCCAGGCTGTAATTACTAATTTAATCCAGTTTGCTTATCTGTAAAGAGGGACTGCTACTTTGTTCAGAAAAAAAATAGTGTGCTCTCTACTTAATCAGGCTGGTTCATAAATTTTGTTTTTTTAACAAGGACTTTGTATCCTTGCTGTCTAGATTATGAAAAAAATCACTTTCATGTGATGTTTTCCTCCCTGGTTAAAAAGTGGTATGAAGACTTCCCCTTTAGAACTTGCAGGAAATTTTAATGTATTGCAAAAATATCAGTTTTCTCTTTTACTGCTGTAATGTTTCCTTGAAAAACATAGCTGTTGAGAATTGCCTGACTGTGCGGCTTTGCACAGAAGCAAGGCTGACTTTGTTTGCCATGTAGATGTTTCATTTTAAATGAAAGTTCTTTAATCTTGCACTGGGGTGCTCTGGGGGAAGGAGGCCTACTCCTGTGTCTGTACCTAAGCCAGACTGCACCAGAAAAATACTCTGCAGGGGGAAAAAAATTCTCCTGACGGAGGTGTGGAGCTAGATGTGAGGTGTCTCGACTTAAATCCTCTGATTTACCTAGAATTCAACTTTGATAAATCAGAACATGACCCACTCCAGCTTCTAAAACAAATCTGTCTCTGAAGTCTCTGTGCTGCACTGCCCTGGCAGATGTGGCTCTGTGTGTGCAATGCAAAGCTTGCTCTGGTACCCTAAAGGTGGCCAGAATATGCTTTGCAGGCATACAGATACCTGATTCTTTTACGTGAGCTGTGGCCTGCAGAAACATTGACTGTCTGGCAGTCCAGCCGCAGAGTCCTTGTGCTGTGTGCAGCTAAGAAGTGCTCAGGGTGCGTGTCTCGTCTTGTCTTGTTTGTGCAAAGTCACATCAGTAGCAGATGCCGCTGATTAGCCTGGAGAAGAGAAGGCTGAGAGGGGATCTAATCAGTGTCTATAAGTACCTCAAGGGAGGGAGTGCAGAGGATGGTGCTGGTCTCTTTTCAGTGGTGGCCACTGACTGAACTAGAGGAAATGGCTGGAAACTGAAGCACCAAAAGTTCCACAGGAACTTCAGGAAAAATTTCTTAACAGTGAAGGAGGTGACTGAGCACTGAAACAGGCTGCCCAGAGAGGTTGTGGAGTCTCCTTCTCTGGAGATCTTCAAAACCCGCTTGGATGCAGTCCTGTGCCACGTGCTTTAGGTGACCCTGCGTATGCAGGGGGGTTGGACTAGATGATCTCGAGAGGTCCCTTCCAACCCTAAGCATTCTATGATTCTATGATTTCCCTCAGTTAAAACCGTTTGTAAATAAGCACTCTCGTGGGAACAGCACCAGTACATTGTAGTATTTACCCAGTACAATTTGATGTCAGTAATATACATGTTCGTCAACAGTTTTTGGAATTTTTTTGGGGTGGGGAGGGGAGAAGAGAATTCCTTTCCAAATGTTATGCATACAAATTTATGCATACATTTACACAAATGTAATATCTTTTATTTTTGTAATACTATCAGGAAGACTTGTCATCTGCAGTATGGAGGGAGCACCAGATGGAGGAAATGGCTTATTAAAACCAAAATATGACCGTCACCTGCACAGGCTTAACATGCAGTAAGAGGTACAATAAGAACACTCATTTGTGCTACTTGAAGCCAGAGCTCCATTTTTTTAAGGCAGGCCTGTGTTGACAGAGCTCGCTGCTTGCTCGGGCTGTGTTTTGAGGTCTGAAGGTTGGTCTCTCCTTCTGGCAGATGTCTGTTTAACCAAGGAGGGCTCTGGTTAGAACCTTTTATCTGGCACAGAGAAATTCTGTGCTCGAGTCTTTGCTGTAGGTGATCCAGAGGAGAGACCACCAATTGTGGGGATGCTGAGCTCAACTTTCGTTCTCTATGCCAGAGTGGTTCCAACATTGATATTTCTCCTTTAGACCAGTTTAGATGGATAATTGGAGCCTTGTTACCCAGCAACTGAAGTGGGATGGTGAAGTAGGTGCCCAGATAGAGAATGAAATGAGCTGAGTTTCTGTGTCCAGCTATTCTTTGGTCGTTTTGAAGCAAGAATGCAGTGAGTTTGATTCTATGTAGAGTTATCACACTTAAATCCAAGAATGTGAGAAAAGGATCTAGCAATGGAAAGGAAGGATGAGATGTGGCTGGTGCACTGAAGACAGGGAGGATCCTGCCCAGTCCTCCACAGCCTGGGTTACCCCATAAGGTGCCACAAAAGCAGGCGAATGTCAAAGCAGTACCACATCTGAAAAGGGTTAATTAGTTAGTGTGGATAGGTAGGGCAATCTACTACTTTTAGCATCTGGCTTATGGTGCTTCCTGTGAAATAAAAAAGTCTTTGTTTTTGTTTTTAAAAGAATGTTTTGATATATTTGTTTTGGAGAAAGTGATTTTTCTAGTTTAAATGTATCCTTTCTCTCACCTTCCTCACTTGCTCCATTTCCGGGCCCCAAACAGAGGAAACAAAGAAGGAAATTTCCTGCATGCCTATGTTTTTGTAAGCTTTTTGTAAGACTACCCAGTACCCTCAAGATCAATGTTCTGTTTAGAAAGACAGCTTCCTGAAATAATCTAAGAAAGGAGGTTAGTCTAATCTTTCTTTGAGGTTGAAAGGAGAAAGGACTAATTTCATGCAGAAAAGATTGTATCTCAGACTGGCGTAAGAATAGAAAATAAATAGGTATTAAATTACATTCAGCTGTCTCAGAATAATCTAATAAAGAATCTGCTGGATCAATAGCAGAATCATTACCCAGGGCTGATAACAAGCTTCCCTTTTTTTTTTAATTTGAGATACAAGCAGGGTTTTTTGCATTAGCCTAATTAAAAAAAAAAGCCTACAAGTTTAAGTCTCCATAGGAAAAAGGTAGAAGTATGAAATAAGAAGAATCATGCTTTATCCTTTAAGCAAGTGTCATTTTTCATTTGAAACATGTAATTTAAAGATATGAAATAAAACTTTTATATTTAATGACTGTCAATCTATCAGCTTTCCTGAGTTGTTTGTCCAAATAGTAAGGTAGAGTTCATCAGAGCAGAGTGTGCATGCAGGAAAAGTGGAAGGGCAAAACAAGACTTTCAACAACTTTTTGTTCTAATTAAGGCTCACTGGAAGGGGAGAGAGAGAGAGAAAAAAAAAACAAAGACAGAACATCTATCTACAAAAAATGCAGTTTCATCAAATCTAAAATGAGATCTGCCTGGTTAGCTGCCGCTCACGATTACAGCATGCAGAACCACGGAGAAACCTGCTTGGCAGGGAACAGGTAGGTAGTTGCACCTTGATTTACATATTGACTTCCGTAAAGACTTCGACTCCGTTCTTGAGGGCAGAAGAAGAGCTCATGTGTCTTCCTGAACCCCAAAGGTATGTGGTCCCCTTTTTGGAAATTCTCATTGTCGGAGAGGAGGTATCAGTGGTCACTGTCAATCTGGGGAACATTTCAAGGGGTAGTAGGTTTTTT